AAGCAAGTGGCCATGCCAAGTTGACTCACCCTTTTGTGGGCCATGCACGGTCAAATTGAGAAGGATGTTGCCCTTCCAAGTTGACCCACCCTTCGGTGAGCAACCCGAGGGTAAAATTTTAGAAGGAAGTGGTCATTCCAGCTTGACTCACCCCTGTATGTGGGCAATGCAGGGGTAAAATTTAGAGAAGGAAGTGGCCATGCCAAGTTGACTCACCCTTTTGTGGGCCATGCAGGGGTAAAATTTAGAGAAGGATGGCCATGCCAGGTTGACTCACCCTTTGGTGAGCCGCCCGAGGGTAAAATTTAGAGAAGGATGTTGCCATCTCGACTTGCCTCACCCGGTTTGCGTGCAAAGCAGGGGTAAAATTTAGAGAAGGATGTTGCCCTCCCATGAGGTCTCGGACTCGGACGCGCGTGTCTCTGATAGGAGGTCTCGGATGTAGAGGTCTCGGACATATAGTGGTCTCGGACATATGGAGGTCTCCGTCTCCGACGCAGACATATATAGAGGTCTCAGACACAGAGGTCTCGGACATAGAGGTCTTGGACATGGAGGTCTCGGACACAGAGGTCTCGGACATAGAGGTCGCGGACAGTCAGAGAGATGTCGGACATGCGTGGATGTGTATGAGGTGTCGGGCATAGAGGTCTCGGACATGGGTCTCGGACATTGAAAGGGGGGATAAATGACCCCAAACGGGGGGGATAAATGACCCCCCCGCCCACTGACAGGCCAGGACTAGGGTTTAAGTCCTACAAGGGAAGAGGTTGGTTGCAATCAGTAGCGAAAAGACACAAGGGAGACAGAGAGCGAGAGAGCGAGAGGGAGAGAGTGACAACAAAACGTATGCAAGTGCAAACAAACAGAGGACAAGAGCACTTGTTTCTAATAGCAAACATTGTTACTACTAGTAAGGCACTTGTTACTACTGCAAACAAACAGAGGAGTACAAAGATCAAGAGCAACAGAGAAGAACAGGGACATGGTCAGACGGTCAGACGTGGTTGCGTTTTCGTCCAAAAGAATCTTCAATATGTGTCCTTTTGCAGGTAGAAAGTGCTCTCCGCTGTGAGTGCTTGCAAAGTCCTCACGTGACTTTCGGAACATGAGATGGACCATGAAAATATGGCAAAGAAAGAAGGAAGGAAGCTAGTAGGTTGGAAGCCATCCCTATTTGGGCTGGAGGCCATTGCTAGTAGGTTGGAGGCCATCGCCAGTAGAAAGAAAAGTAAGGAATGAAGGACAGAAAAAAACAAAGAGCATGCTGTTTTCTTGCCCCAAAGAGTGTCCAAGGCAAAGGTGCCAGAGCACTCCATCTGTCCAGAACCAAGTGCTTTAAGGCTTGCTACATGTTCAAAAGCATATTATGGACATTTTGATGTTGCCTTTGATGGCCTCCAACCTACTAGAGATGGCCTCCAACCTACTGGCAATGGCCTCCAACCTGCTAGAGATGGCTTCCAACCTAATAGCGATGGCCTCCAACCTACTATCGATGATATATATATTTTGATGTTATTGAGGCGTTTTCTTTGATCTCTGAGGTGTCAACTAGCGACCACTTGGTGTCTTCTTGGCTGGTGTCAAGCGCTGCCGCTGTGCCGTGCACTGAGAGGTTGGCAGATGTGGTCGCTTCAAATCTCTGCAACAAGGATGCTAGGAACAAGTGCATCGCTACTAGGAACAGGTGCCTTACTAGTAGTAACAAGAAGCTATTAGAAACAAGAAGCTAGAAAGGCACTTGTTTCTACTAGCTTCTTGTTATTGGTAGTAAGGCCCTTGTTCCTAGTAGCGATGCCAGGAGCCCCTAGTAGCGTCCTTGCTCCTAGGCTTCGTGTGGTTCGAGCCTCAAAGCCTTTCGGCGCTACGCTCTCTCGTTGCAGTGCGCTCGCTCTTTGAGGCCACGCCCTGCAAAACCAGCCGTCCATTTTGTGCCAAAGTGCCCAGGAGCTTTTTTGGACAATCTCCGTCCGCAATCCACATCGGCAGAGTGGGCACTTTGCACAGATGGGCCATGCCTGTTGCTGGTTGGTGAGCGGACTTCTAGACTCTAGACGCAGTGCTTTCTCGAGTGGCTGTGTGGCCTGCCGATTCGCCGGAGTTTGGGCTAGTCCCCTTTCCGGGAACAATGTCCAGGAGTTCGAAAGGGCGCGGAGGTCCGGTTGAAGAAAGCTGCACAGTCAGCCTCGTTGATCACGACGCAAGCTTCAAGTGAGCTTCATTCCACCTCACCTCCCCTGATGTGCCTCTCTCCCGCTGCGAGAGCACCATGGAGCCAGGGAGAGAGCATGCCGGAAAAGACAACTGTCAACGAAAAGCGCGCGAGGAAAGTAGAGGAACAGACTTGAGGGTAGCAAGTTGAATCTAGGAACCACATGACTAGCGTGAGCTATTCTGCGTCCAGTAGCCAGTAGCTTACTTAAGCCACTAGCAAACATGAAAAGACCCAAAACATCGATTCTTTGCAATCATTGGGTCTGTATTGATCCCTCCTATCCCTCCTACCGGATGTGACACAATTTTGCTGCATTCAATTCTGGTGTTGTTGCTTGGCTAAGTGAACAACCGGATATCTCTCGCCGGTGCTTTGCCTCTAGTTCTCGCCGGTTCGTACTGCGTTCATGCTTTGCCTCTACGTTTTGAAGGAGGGCCTTTCGCAGTGGCACTTGGCCAATTTGGCGGAGACTGCATCAAAGGCATGCCACGGCGGCTTTCGGGTCCTATGCAAAATGTGGCACCTATTATTTGTTATGAAAGAGGCCATTGCTATTGGGTTGGAGTGGTCTGTGGCACCTATTTGTTTCTTTTGTTATGGCTTTTCGCTGTGCCTGGTGTTCGAGGCAGGCACGGTCACGACAGTTGGTTCAAGGCACGCAAGAGAGAAAAGTTCATTCAATCCTCTCATGTAAATTAATAGTTTCTTGTTACTACTAGTAAGGCACTTGTTTCTAATAGCAAACATTGTTACTACTAGTAAGGCACCTGTTACTACTAGCGTGGCACCTGTTACTAGTAAGTCTGAAAGTGTTTTAGTTTCTGAGCACTTTCACCGTTGCAGCCCTTCAAGGTCTTCAATGACAGATTTCAGTGTGACAAATGACCGGTGACAAGATTGGGGGTAAAATCCTGCCAAATGAAGCTTAGGGATCGGCTGGCTGTTCTTTCATTCCACTGATGGCACGCAGACCCAGCCGAATTTACGACCGCCGATCCCTCATGGGTTTGATTCCATGTGAATCTAACATGGGTGTGTGGGATGGCACTTTGGCAGTATCAGTCTCGTCGTACGGCAGGCACACGAATCAAGCAAGCATGCGGCATGCCTTCGGACCCTCATCAATCATGCTCACTTGTGGTCGACTCCTTTGGAGATCTTAGGAGCGAGGGCGCTACTAGGGGCCCCTGGCCTTACTACTAGTAACAAGAAGCTACTAGTGACAAAGGGCATCGCTACTAGGAGACCATGTGACGAAGCGGATAAACTATCCGCATGGCTCGCGACTGTGACTGTCGAAGTGCGATTTCGGAGATGGGGCCGAAAGAAGGAAAAAAAGAAAGTACCAAGTACATCTAAGTACTAGTGTCCTTACTCCTAATAATGCCAGAAGCTACTAGCTTCTTGTTAGCTCAGAGGTTTCAAAGGTGAAAAGTTCAAGAAGAATCTCCAAAGACCGAACTGTTTCGTATGTTTCGTGCAGCAAAGGTCCTTCAAGGAAGCTTCTGCTTGCAGTTTTGTAGCTTCCGAAGCTTCTGCTACTAGGAGCAATCACGCTACTAGGGGCTTCTTGCATCTATTTGCCTACTCATATTCTACCTCGCCCACCCCCCTCAGGGCCTTTCTCCGACAAACTATTCTGGAGCCAAACCGAAGCGTGGACAAAAACATTTTGAATCTCTCTTCGTTGGCATTTTGGGTGCTTTCAGACTTAGCATTTTGGCATCGCTCCTCGGCGTTGGGGCGCCGCGAGCTGAGAAGGGCAGAAAGATGCGCAGATTGAGCTTGACGCATAGGACACAAATTCTTAACAACTTTGTTAACGAAACATCATGTTGTCAACTGTAGTCATGTAAATCATAAAGACGAATGCAAAGCTTGCATCGTTTGCAAGGGAGAAAAGGTTGCGTAATTGCACGTGACTGGCACACGGTAGATTTCTGACATCTTTTACGAGTAAAGTTACTGAGTAAAGCAGGTAAGTCATGCTTGCAAGACTGCTGCGAGGTCTCGCAGGACGCATTTTGGTTTTCCGCTGAAGGGTTCAAACCATGGAGGACGCTGAAGACCAGCGTCTTGAAAAGAAGAGGTCGAAACCCAAGAGAGAAGACAAAGGTCCAAAGAAGCAATGGAGACCCTGGAGAGACCTTTTGAGGACTCAGGATGCGGTGCTTTTCGTGCAGAGCTTCGAGACTGAAAAAAAGACTTTGATGAGTGTTGCAGCGGATGGATTGGTGGCACTCTATGTCTCCAACCCTCTTGGCATCGTTTCACAAGAGCAGACCTTTCATCTCAAAAGGGAAACATCAACTACACCAAGACATAGCCTAACAAGTCTCACAAGTGATACTGCGCCCAGCTCTGCAATTTGGTGTTCCTCTTTAACGATGGCAGCTAGTTCGTTGCCTCCAAGCATTCTCTACGGAGGACACGTGAATGGATCTGTGTCAGCCTGGTCTGCACGTGGCGCCTTACTCCTTGAAGTGCCCCAGGCGCACGCAGCGGCCGTGACAAGAGCTTGTTGTCTCAGTACCTTCGAGATGGCTGAGGAGGCTGATGCGGACGGACACGGTGCTCGACTGAAAAGTGAAGGGCCAGATCTTGCCACGGCTTCCCTTGATGCAACCATTCGAATTTGGCAATTGCTTGAGGATGAGAGATGTGAAAGTAGCGGATTTTCGCCAGGTTGTTTGTTCATTTTGGATTTGGGCCTTCGGAATCCAGTAGCGGACCTTGTCCTTCTGTCGCCTGAGGAGATTCTTGTTGCCACTTGGGATGGACAGGTGCGTTTTGTTGATTTGATGCCTACGGAGGCGCCGGCAGACGCACCTGCAGCTTGCTCCAGGGCATTGCAGGTGACTATGGGACAAGTCAGGTCAATCTGCAAATGGCGCAAGAAGGGGGAGGATGAATGGCAGCTGTTTGCAGGCACCGACGAAGGTACCATTTCATGTTGGGCTCCTAGTGGGTCGCCTGGTTTAGCATCATCCTCTGCACTTGTGCCTTCCTGGAGTCAGCGGCTGTCATGGCAGGGGCACTGGAGCCATGTCATTGCTTTGAGCAGCTGCAAGGATTGGCTGATAAGTTGTGCAGAGGACAAGCACGTACGGCTTTGGGATGCCACTTCGGGCAAGCTTTTGTCTGACCTCTGGGGTCACAGTGCTGGGATCTTGTGTGCCTGTGTGTCATGGCCACTTCTGTGGACAGGCTCACGTGATCACACCGTGCGATCGTGGGATCTTCAAGAAATTGCCAATCAGCTTCGAGAGCTATCAACCATGGAGACTTGCGATGCCCAATCCTTTCACTATGAAATCACTTTTTCTCGTTTGACTGCCAAGCAGTTGAAGAAGCTGGCTGCTGCAGCCAAAGCCGCCAAAGCCGCTAAGAGCGAGCGTCGCAACAGAACCCGCTGAGGTATTGTACATAGGTGACCAAAAGAGGTCCAAGAGCTCGAGAAAACCAATGTCAAAGAACAAAAAGGAACAGGTTTAGCAAACAGGAGGCACAATTCAGAAAGGTGTCTTGTTCAGTTCTTTGACTTTCAGATTCTGGCAGTCCTGAGTCCTGAGGCAAACCCGTTTGGAGCGGAGCTCAGGAGCCTGAGTTTGGAGTCATTTTTTGCCAAGTGTGTTTTGTTGAATTTCCATTGCACATCTTGGAGGCCATCGCTCTTAGGTTGGAGGCCATCACTCTTAGATTGGAGGCCATCGCTCTTAGGTTGGAGGCCATCACTCTTAGATTGGAGGCCATCGCCATTAGGTTGGAGGCCATCGCTCTTAGGTTGGAGGCCATCGCTCTTAGATTGGAGGCCATCGCCATTAGGTTGGAGGCTAGGTTGGAGGCCATCGCTCTTAGATTGGAGGCCATCGCCATTAGGTTGGAGGCCATCGCTCTTAGGTTGAAGGCCATCGCTCTTAGATTGGAGGCCATCGCCATTAGGTTGGAGGCCATCGCTCTTAGGTTGGAGGCCATCGCTCTTGGATTGGAGGCCACAGCCATTAGGTTGGAGGCCATCGCTCTTAGGTTGGAGGCCATCGCTCTTAGATTGGAGGCCATCGCCATTAGGTTGGAGGCCATCGCTCTTAGGTTGGA